TGGATTCAGAAGAGGAAGTGGAACTAGGGATATCAATGCTGACATCAGATGGATCTTGGCTGAAAACAAAGAATACAAAAAAGATGTTTACCTGTGCTTTATTGACTATACAAAGGCTTTCAATTGTGTGGATCATAACAAGCTATGGATAATGTGGTGAAGAATGGGTTTTCCAGTATATTTTATGGTGCTCATGAGGAAACTGTACAAAAACCAAGAGGCTGTTATTCGAACAGAACAAGAGGGTACTGGAAGGTTTTAAATCAGACAAGGTATGTGCCAGCTTAGCATTATTCAACCTGTATGCTAAGTAAATTCTCTGAGAAGCTTGATTATATGAAGAGGAGAAGAAATGTGGCATCAGGATTTAAGGAAGACTCATTAAAAACCTGTAATATGCAGATTGCACAACACCACTTGATGAAAGTGAAGAGGACTTAAAATCCTGATAAGGAACAAAGACCACAACCTTTAGTATAGACTGCACCTCAATGTAAAGGAAACTAAAATCCTCACCACTGGATCAACAAATAAAAACATGGTAATTGAAGAAAACATTGATGTTATCATAGACTTCATTTTGCTTGGATCCACAATCAACACTCGTGAAAGCGAGAGTCAAGGAAGCAAACAAAGTATTGCATTAGGTAAATCCGCTGCATGCGACCTCTTTAAAGTGTTCAAGAGCAAAGCTACCAGTGTGAAGACTAAGGTGTGCCTGACACAAGCGATGATATTTTCAGTAGTATATATATACATGTGAAAATTGGACAACAAATAAGGAAGACTGTAGAAGAGTTGATGCACTTGAGTTATGGTGTTGCAGAAGAATGTTGAAAATACCATGGACTGCCAAAGAATAAACAAATCTGTGTTTGAATAAGTGCAGCCAGAATGCGCTTTAGAAACCAGAATGGTGAGACTTTGTGTCTTATACTTCGGACATATTATCAGAAGGGACCAATCCCTGGAGAAGATCATTATGCTTGCTAATATGAAACAACAGTAAAAAAGAGGAAGACCCCAAACAAGATGAATTAACATCATGGCAGCAGCAATGGGCTCAAGCTTACCAACAATTATGAGGATGGTGTAAGACCAGGAAGTGTTTCATTCTGTTGTATAGAGTCAACGTGAGTCGGAACTGACTCAACATCACCTAACAACAACAACAACATCAGTGGTAACTTCAAAAAGGGCATAGAGACTAAATACAGAAGACAGTCCTTTATTCAAAATCTAAGATTTCAGTGGAAACAGTTGAGCTGTCAGCATAAAGTAAGATGGACAATAACAGGTTTAACTTTGGACCCACCGAGTTAAGTTACTGATGGCAAATTCAGCTGAAGTTTAACAAAGAGACCAGAGTTAGAAATGAAGATTTGTCATCTTCAAAGAAGTGGATGTTGATGTTGGAAGGATTATCAAAGAAAATAGTATAGGAAAATACTGTAGAATCTTGAAGGAATCTTACACTTAGTGGCATTAAAAAGATGGAACTATCAGAGAGCATAAAAAAAAAAGCAATTGAGTAAGTAACGGAACTAAGAGTAGAGAATACCAGAAACTGAGGGACCAGATTGGGAGAGCAATCAGTGGAGGTAAGTGATGGGGAGAAACAGAGGGAAATGAGGACTGAGAACAAGGATGGGAGAGGATTTTGTTGTCAGTTAATTATTAATTATATTTCAAAGACCAGAGTCCAGCATCAGTAATTATGAACGCTTGCTACCTGCCTTCCAAGTCTGAATAAAGCTAGGACTCTATGATAATTTCGGGAAAAATTCTAAATGATGTTTTTGACTTGTCTAAATGGATAGATAGATAGATAGATAGATAGATAGATTAGATAGATTAGATAGATTGATACATAGACAGATGGTGATTATGTGCTGTGGAGTCAGTTCCTCCTCATACTACCCTGTACAGGGTTTCTGAGGCTGTAAATCTTTACAAGAGCAGAAAACCTCATCTTTCTCCTCAGAAAGGCTGGTAGTTTCAAACTGCTGACCTTAAGTTTAGTAGCCCAACTTGTAACCACTTTGCTACCAGAGCTCCTTTTATATACATACATGGTCCTGGTGTGGCATTGCAGGTTAATGCACTGACTACAAGGTTGTTTTGAACCACAAGTTTGGTGGTTCAAGCTCTCCAGCTGCTCCTTGGTAACGCTACACAAGGTTGCTATGAGCCGGAACTGACTCACTGGCACTTAACAACAATAACATACATACATGCACACATATGCATTTATATTACATACATTGCCTTGTCAGAAATATAAGTTCTAAAAGATACAAAATAAACAGATCACCATTTCTCACTCTTTAATATGGGATTCTATGGGGAAGCTTCTCTGCTATTCATAAGATTTTCAGTGACTAAATATTTGGAAGTAGTACGTCACACTTTCTTCCTAGTCTGTCATCTGGACGCTCATCTGAAACCTGTCCACCATGGGTGACCCTGCTGGTATTTAAAATCCCGGTTGCATAGCTTTCAGAATCACAGCAACTCACAATCCACCACAGTACAACAAACTGACAGACAAGTGGTGGAATGTGGAATGCAGAAATTATTGGACAATCTCTTTGATATCCCATGCAAGTAGAGTTTTGCTAAAGGTAATACAGAAACAGCTACAATCATACATTGACAGAGACTTTCCAGAGGTTCAAGCCGGATTCAGAACAGGCTGTGGAACCAGGGATATCATTGCTGATGTCTGATGGATCTTGGCTGAAAGCAAAAAATATCAGAAAGATGTTTACCTGAGCTTTGTTGACTACGCAAAGGCTTTCAATTGTGTGGATCATGACAAGCAATGGACAACATTGTGAAGTATGAGTATTCCAGAAGACTTAATTGTGCTCATGAGGAAACTGTACCTGGACCAAGAGGCAGTTGTTCGAACCGAACATGGGAACACTGAATGTTTTAAAATTAAGAAAGTTGTGCGACAAGGTTGTATTCTTTCACCATATGTATTCAACATGTATGCTGAGAAAATAGTTTGAGAATCTGGTTTCTATGAAGAAAAACGTGGCATCAGGACTGGAGGAGACTCATTAACAACCTGCGATATGCAGATGATACAACCTTGCTTGCTGAAAGTGAAGAGGACTTAAAACATTTACTGATGAAGATCAAAGAGCACAGCCTTCAGTATGGATTACATCTCAATGTAAAGAAAACAAAAATCCTTACCACTGGATCAATAAACAACATTCTCATCAACAGAGAAAAGTTTGAAGCTGTTAAGGACTTCATTCTTCTTGGATCAACTATCAACACTTGCGGAAGCAGCAGTCAAGAATTCAAACGACGTATTTTGTGTTTCATTAGGCAAATCTGCTGCACAAGACCTTTTTAAAGTGTTGAAGAGCAAAGATGTCAGCTTGAGGACTAAGGTACACCTGACCCAAGCCATGGTATTTTCAATAGCCTCATATGCATGCTAAAGCTGGACAGTGAATAAGGAAGATGGTAGAAGAATTGATGCTTTTGAGTTATGGTGTCGGAGGGGAATACTATAAGGCTGCCAAAAGAACCAATAAATCCGTTTTGGAAGAAGTGCAGCCAGAGTGCTCCTTGGAGGCCAAGATGGCCAAACTTCGTCTCTCATACTTCAGGCATATTGTCAGGAGAGACCAGTTACTGGAGAAGGATATCATGTTTGGTAAGGTGGAAGGTCAGAGAAAAAGAGGAAGACCCCCAATGAGATGGATTGGCCATGTGGCAGCATTGATTGACTCAAGCGTGGCAATAGTAGTGAGGTTGGCCCAGGATCGGCCAGTGTTTTGTTCTGCTATGCATAAGGTCACTATGAGTCGGTACCAACTCAATGGCACCTAATAATAACAATGGGGAAGTTATGAGGCTTTTGTCACTTCCCTCATTCCCTCTAATACACAAAAAGACTAAAGCATTTGGAGACATTAAATGAATTCATAGAGTTCAGTAAGCTGCTGTTTAAGAGGCTTATCCTTCAGTCACAATATTGAATCCTATACTCATATGAATAAGAGTCCTGGTCTGACACTGTGAGTTAACAAGCTAGGTTGCAAGGTCAGGTTGAACTGTAAGGTTGGTGGTTCAAGCTCACCAGCCGCTCCTGGAAACACTATACAGGGTTGTTATGGGTCAGAACTGACTCAATGTCACTTAACAACAACACATTCATATAGGTTTAATATGGAATTGAAATAACTTTTTAAGATTTGATTTAGAATATTCTGTTATTAAGAGATATTTCTTTAATCCAGATCTCAGTTCATGGGTTAATATTTTGTAGGAAGATGAACATGAAAATATGTTATTATATCAATTTACTGTAATAATATATATCATATTATTATTGTTGTTGTTAAGTGCCATCAAATCATTTCCGACCAATAGCCATCCTGTATTGGGTTTCTGAGGAATGGCTGGTGGGTTTGAACTGCCCAACTTGAGGTTCAAATCAACCTTGCAGTCCAGTACTTATCCTACAGTGCCACACCAGTACTCTAATATATATGTTGCTGTTGTTAGGTGCCATGGAGTTGGTACCGACTCCTAGTGACCTTATGCACAGCAGAACAAAACACTGCCCAATCCTGGGACAACCTCACTACTGTTGCCACGCTTGAGTTAATCGATGCTGCCACTTGGCCAATCCATCTCATTGGGGGTCTTCCTCTTTTTCTCTGACCCTCCACCCTACCAAACGTATCTTTCTCCAGAGACTCGTCCCTCCTGACAATATGTCCGAAGTATGAGAGACAAAGTTTGGCCATCTTGGCCTCCAAAGAGCACTCTGGCTGCACTTCTTCCAAAATGGATTTATTGGTTCTTTTGGCAGCCCATGGCACTTTCAATATTAGCTTCTAAACCATAACTCAAAAGCATCAATTCTTCTATGGTCTTCATTCTTCACTGTCCAACTTCATAATGGGTACTAAATAATTCTGGCTAGAGGTGAATTAGTAATATAATTAAGGAATAGTGCATTTACATACCTGTGGTACCCATCTGGAGGACACAAAGCTGGTTACTTCTATTACTGACAAGCCAGTTTGGGAAAGTTGATTGATAAATTCAATTTTTACATCTGTAGGAACTATAACCTATGAAAACACAAAAAGTGATTTGTTAAGTAAATTCCATAATGTCTACTGAAGCACACCAGAAAATTACTTTCTAACTGAAAACCAATTCCATTTGACAATTTATAAGTTCAAGTATTAGTTGATAGCACACATGATAATGTAACATGAAGTCTACCTCATAAGTCTTAAAATCTTATATGAACTATTAGTATTTGGACTTAGAATTTGAAGTAAATATGTTAAATTATTATCAAACTACCTTTTCATTCTGTAGTCCATCTCTTGGTCCAACTTCTACTATTTTAACATATTCAGGGAGTCCAGATAACTGAGGTGATTCCTGAAATACAAAATGCAAGAGCAAGAAAAACAGATTCTTTTTGTATCACAATACTTGCTTATGAAAAGTTAAACAAATACAGTTGTTTCACTAAGTTATCACCCCTAAAAATTAAAACAGTAAGAAATCAGTAAATTGCTATCATCCAGTCATCAGGTTTAGATTACTAGCATCATGACACCATTGGTATTCAGGCTAAATGTGATTCAAATTCAAAAGGTTAATTTTTTAAATGACCGTGGAATAGGTGTTTACTCAGGATCTAAACAGAAATTTTCCTGGACAATTGTGTATGCAATGATGAACTCAGCATTGCTTGAGCTCATTAAATTGAAAGATCTTGACGTTAATAGACTTCTGATAAGTATAGTTTTACAAGATTCTACCATCTATATCCTGACCTTGGGGAGTATAGACTTGATAATCTGGCTTGTGCCCAGAAAATTGAAACTAGAGTAGAATGTGCAATATTTATTTCTTCTTTGTGTCAACAGCACAACTACTACCACCTAAATGCTAGTTTAATGATAGATCCCACCATAGGATTTCACCCTTAACACTCTATTGGAAACAGCCTTGTACAAACCCAATGTCCTACTTTAAGCCCAAATTTAGTGTACAAAGGGTCTGTATCCTGGTACTTGTGTCCACTAGTTTAAAACCTAGGACATAAGAACAGCCTTTCTAAACTTCATCTTGCAATTAAAAATCAGAAGTAGGGTCATCCAGCAAAACTTAGATCAGTGTAATCCCCTGGCACATTCTGAGCCAAATTAAATGTGTTTACCCCGTTAATCAGAGTCCTGGTGTGGCAAAGTAAGATTAGCACTTGACTGCTAACCACAAGGTTGGTGGTTCAAACCCAGCAACAGCTCCTTGGAAACCCTATACAGGGTTGCTACGAATCAATCTGACAGCACTTTACAGCAACAACAACCCCATTCATCAAGTTCTACAAAAGGGTAATTGATGGCATTGATTCAAATCAGTAGGGCATGTCTTCAAAGTTTTTTGTTTCATTCTTCTGCTTTAAGATAACCACTGGACAGCTAACCTCAAGGTCACTGGTTCAAACCCACCGGCCACTCCTTGAAAGCAGGGCTGCTAAGACTCAACAGAATATAACAACAATTCATACGTGGAACCTTGGTGGTCCAGAGGTTAACGTGTTCAACTGCTAGCCAAAAACTCAGTAGCCACTCTATGGGAGGCACATGTGGTAGTCTGTTTCTTTAAAGATATTCAGGCTCAAAAACCCTATGGGACAGTTCTACTCTGACCTATAGGCTCAGTGTGAGTTTGAAGGGACCTAACAGTGGGGTTTTTTGTTGCTGTCTTTTGTTTAATTCATATTGTCTCATTCTGCCCTTTTAGTGTTGTTGTTAAGTGCCTTGAGTCAGTTCCAACTCACAGCAACCCTGATTAGGGTTTCTGAGGAGTGACTAATGGATATAAGCCACCGACCTTGCAGTCAGCAGTCCACTAGATAAAGATCCCAGTTTGTGTCTATGGCATAGAAAAAAAAAAATGTTCACTGGCTTTCTTAGGATTCAAAGCAGTTACTTGTCTTTATCAGCACTCTATTCTAAGATAACAGAACCCAGATGGCCCCATTATGATGTTTGCAACTACCTCCCACAATTATAAAATTGGGAGATTCAATAAGCAAAGTTCATCAATAAGGAAAATAATTCTTATTTATGCATCTTCTGAGCAAGTTGTGGCATCTGCAGTTTGCTTGTGGAGTTGATGGAGGAGATGTGATGTTATGGATGAGAGTTCTGGAGCAAAACCTCGTTTACAGAGTGGCCTTAAGTTCAATGAAGCAGTAAAGGACTGGTGACATTTGTGGAAGGAGTCTATGAGAGAAGAATAATTTTTCTTTCTTATTTTATCCAGTACAAGATTGCAAAAAAAGAAACATGATCTAGGGATTCTTGGGCCATGTGGTCTCATTATCACTAATTATTTCCTGAAACTGCATTTTCAACTGCAATTACATTGCAACATAATGGAGAGAACTTCTTCATTAAACAGCAGTGTTTACAAGAAAGGGACATTAAGGTACTAACAACAGATTGAGTAAAATTAAAGACTTGGGGATCTTCTTTTGAATGAATTTTCTGTAGCTGGTAAAATTAACAAGTAATTTGAAGAAATGATAGAATGCCAACAATTATGGCCATTTCAGTTAAACTAGAATATGGTGTGCATGGTGGTGTTGTTGCTGCTGTTAAGAACTTTCGAGTCGGTTCCAACCCATAGCGACCTTTTTATAGGTTTTCCAAAGAACAGCTGGTGAGCTTGAACTGTCAACCTGTGGTTCAAGCTGACTTTTCAGTCTAATGCATTAACCCACAGCACCACACCAGGTGCTAATTTACATTTATTCCTGAATCTAGTACTACTATTTTGCCTTCTAGATATAGGCAAATACCTGCGAAATCAGCAGAAAATGATAATGGGCTCAATATGATCAAAAAGTAAGAGCCTAAAATAAAAATGTTAAATTCATGCAGAAGTGAAAAAGCAAATCAGCAAAGACAAAAATAAAATTAATCAATGCATACAAATTGAATTTGTGTGATGTGAGAGGCATCTCTTGGTGAGCTTTAGTCTCACTTGTCTTGGACATTATAGTCTCGGTGCTGCTATCTATAGAGCTTAAGTGTACATAAGCAAAGCACAGTGGGAAAATCCACAAGCTCATAAAATCTATCATTAGAGCTTCCTAAATATTCTCCTGGTGTGGCACTGTGCATTAATGTACTGGACTGCAAAGTCAGTCTGAACCACTAGAACAGCAGTTCAAACTCACCAGCTGCTCCTCAGAAACCCTATCCAAGGTTGCTGTGGGTTGGAACCAACTCAATGGCACGTAACAAGAAGAACAAATATTCTCCCTAATGTCCTTCAATATGCAACAGTTAGAGAGAACTGTCAGCCTAAGGAAAAAAATGCTTTAAGACTGACATCTCCTCTCTACCATCATTGTTCTTCATGCATCCTAGGCTTTAGCCAAGCTAATCATGTCTTCCTCAATTTCATGTTTGTACACCTGAAAATTCTATTGCTTGGAAATACTGTTCCATTTGTGGGAAGACAATTCACCAACACTGTTTCCACTTCTTTGTGAACATAGAAATGGGCCCTATTTTTCCTCTATCTAGGAATTATGTTTGAACATATTCCAGCTAATGGAATATAAGTGTGAATTTCCCTTCAGCCATTTTGATACAGATGAGTATGGCACATTTGAATCCTACATTTCTGAATTATTGCTTTTGCATAAGAAGTTTCTGTCAATAAAAAGCACTCACCTCATACTTTACAGGATCAAGAAATAAATAACTTTTAGATTTTATTAAGATCTGAAGTCTATATTTGATAGATACTAGTTGTAAAGAAATCCTGATGTGGCACTGCGGGCTAATGCACTCGACTGCAACGTCAGTTTGAACCACGAGGTCAGCAGTTCAAGGTCACCAGCTGCTCCTTGGAAACCCTATACAGGATCACTATGAGCCAGAATCGACTCCATAGCACTTAACAACAATAAATTGCAAAGAAGAGTAAAGAATCTGAAATTTACTCTGTGTAGAAGGTGACAAGTAAGCTTTCATGGAGTGGGAGGTACAAAAATCCTGGGTCAGAAATAAAGAAAAGTTCACTACCCACAACAATAGCAGTAGTCCAAGTATAAGAATTTGTGCTCATGCTCCAATTCCCAACTCCCATAATAAATAGGAAAAAGGGCCATGCAACTTATTTATTATGCTGTGGGTTGCATGACAAGGGAGAATCTCTACACTCAGAATACCTGAATCTTTTATAATGCTCAATAAGTGCATCTACCCTATTTTCAATCATCTTGTCTATATGTGAGAGCTGTAAAATGTGTAAGGAAGAGATAAGAAGAACTGATGCATTTGAATTATGATGTTGGCAAAGAACATTGATGAACTGCCAAAACAAAAAGAAATATATCTTGGAAGAAGTACAGCTGGAATGCCCTTTAGAAGTGAGAATGGCAAGCCATCATTTCATATCTGTTGGACATGCTATCAAGAGACAAGTCCCTGTAGAAAGATAGTATGCTTGGTAAAGTAGAGGGTCAGCAAAAAAGAGGAAACCCTTAATGAGATGGATTGACACAAAGGCTACACCAATGGGCTCAAACATAGCAACACTTGTGAGGATGACATAGGACTGGGCAGTATTTCATTCTGTTATACATAGGGTCACTATGTTGAAACTAACTTGACAGCACCAAACAACAACGACTCTTTGCTCTGGTAGTAGATAATATGCTTATTATATACTCAAGTTAGCCCTTTGCTTTGAAAGGACACTTTATTTTTGCCTTCCCAGATGGTAAGCAAATTTACCCTTTGCTCCAGAGGAAAACACTATTTTTATCATTAAATCTATTCTCTATACAAAAATTCTTGAAAAGATATCTGCAACAAAGGCAATCAGTGTCTCTGCTTTCAAAACATGCAGAAATTCAAGAAATCCTCAAATAATTATTTCCAAGTAATATCCATCCTTCATTTTTATACCACCTTGGATATTGAAAACTTTCCCAGGACTAATCCACTCTGTTGAGCCCTTTGATTAATCTGACAAACAAATGTTAGGATAAAATCTGCTAAATTTAGGTCAAAAACATTTAACTAAGGCTACTCTCAACAATTCCCAAGTGGTAGAATTAGATTAACCTACAATATCGACCTCAGCATTTCTGACTCCCACGGATGTTGGATCCAACTAGCTGAACAAACCACATGCAGTGGGTGGGGGCCCTTACATGAGAAGGAGTTGCTATTTTGTGCCTAGTCTATGATGGTGGCTGTATTTCCAAGATCTCTATGATGATGGATCCAGGCAGCAATAGCAGCGATTTGGATGGTGGAAGCTTGGCCAGTAGTTTAATTATAGTAGGCCTTTTGAGAGTATGGACCTCACATGGCTCAGTCAGCAAGACACCTAGTAATAAA